GCGCATCCTCGCTCCAGCCCCGCAGCCTCCCCCTCCACTCACCACCGCGTCCTCTCCTTCCCGGTAGATTCCCTTCTGCGTCCTTCCTCCCATTCTCCCCATCTCCCTCCTCCAGCCTTCCACCCTTGCGGATGTGACCTCTTCTAGGCCTAGCCACTCAAAGTGTGGTCCCTGGACCAGCAGGGTCAGCATCACCTGGGAGCATCACTCATCTCAGGCCCCACACCAGACTCCTAAATCAGCATTTGCTTTTTACTCAGATCCTCAGGATCCCACAGTTCCAATTCAGAAACGTTCTTCTAGGGGGTTTACCCTGGTCATGACTTGCTAAAACTGCTGCTTTCCCCCAACTCGTTTCTGCACCTTCTCATTTCTACAGAACACCTATTAGACCCGTTATTTCTTGGGATCAACTCGGAAGGAGCTTGAAATGGAAAGATCTCACTGTAGAGATGAGTATACTGAGGTGGTCAGAGGGTAACTTTGCACCATTGAAACTAGGCAGCGGGTCCTCTGCAGCAGGCAGCATGGGCCTTGACCTGGCCCATACTGTGTCTGGTGCCCAGGCTGAACTCTCCACGTTTCCAAAACCATTCCTACCACTTAAATTCTCTGTTATTTACTCAGTCATCCATCTATTCACAACGAGCACTTATTATGTGGCAGGTCCCAGGATCCTCTACTGAAGACAGTTGTTGGAGTGATAACAGGTTGAATCTGCTAAGCTGTTTTGGCTAGAGACAGGAACGAAATTCTTTTCATGTAATGTCAGCATTTTGACTTGATTTCCTGTTTCTTTTTTTCTTTCTTTTTTCTTTTTTACTTTATTGCATAAATCAATTAATTAGGGAGGCAGAAAAGCTCAGATTCTAAATGCAGGCCTAGAAGTCAGACTGCTTAGGGTAGTGATCAGTAGTTGCCCATGATCAATAATCTTCACGGTGCAATGGAGATTTAAGAAAATAGAGGTACAGATCAGTTGGGTTCAATGCTCTCAATGGCATGAATGAATATGCATAGAATTATGAAACATTAATATTCAAAAGGAAACTAGTGAGTGACCTCAACCTTTTATGGCCTAGTTGGCTGGGAGACAGGGGACAGCTGTTGACATAGGGAGTCATTCTGAGAAACCCAAAGTTCAGGTTTGTCACTGGGTGTCAGCTGACGGTGGGTTGTCCAATTGAGGTTTAAACATGTTAATCCTGACAGCTGAATCAAGATGTAATTCATGAAAACCTTCAGTTTTAATAGATCCTCCAACATACTAGTTGTTTTAAGAAATCAGTCATATTTATTGTTTGGAAATGGTTGAAGTAAACTATAATTATTTAAAACAAGATTCCTTTCCTGAAAGCATAGCTTGGCAATGCATACAATTATAAAATATAATTCCAATAAATTGAAATCTGTTAAATCCTAAAAAAAAAAAAAAAAAAAAAAGATCTGATCCCTTCTCAAAAACTGCAATCTATTCCTTTTCTTTTCTTCCCATTCACCAGAGCAGCAAATATGGTCAGTTTTAACTGGACCTATATTTGGCTAAAAACAGAAAACATCAGACTTCTGATTTCAGTGTTGATTCTCCGGTTTGAGAATTCAAGCTGCTACCTATTACTTTCTTTAATTTCACTTATTACAATGAACAGTAATGGCACTTCAATAGAAGAGAAATGAAAACCAGGTCACATCCGTCTCCTAGTGAATGGTCTGGTGAAAGCACATGGGCTTTCTGTTGGGAAAGGGGGAGTTGCAAACACAGCCTAAAACACAGCCTTGCTGTAATCTGTGGATTTTAATTATCCACTTCTCTTCACGTACCTGGTGTCCCTAGACTCAAAGAGGCCACAGATAGGCTCAGAGGTCGTGTGAGCTTATGAAAATGCTGAAATAATGTGTGATGCATTAATTTTTCTAGAGGGGCAACTTCTAGCTTCCATGGGTCAAAGTCTGCATGTCTCTTCAGGGACTTAGAAACCTACTTGGATTTCCAAATCCTATAGAACCTACTTCTACCCTTTCACAAGATTCTTTCCAATCTACTTAAATTGCATTTTGGGGTTTTCTTATTTTCTTACAAGATTTAAATTCTGGAAAGACCCTTAGCAGGAATGGAAGTGTAGTTCAGTGGTAAGTGCTTGCCTGGCATGTGTGAGGCCCTGGGTTAATTTCCAGTACTGCAGAAACAAACAAACAAATAAATAAATTCCTCTGCACATTTCTCTCTTAATTACATCTCTGTTGGACACTCTGTGTTCCCCACCAGTGCGAATCCACTGGATGGCCAAGAAATATGGTGGATTCCTCTTTTGCACATGCTTTCTGGGAAAGAATTTTGTCTGACCATTCTGAGACCATTGGCTGGACAAGGGCCAGTTATTAAAACAAGAACTTAGAGATAAACCAGTTTATTTCATTTTCATTTTTAAAAGAAACACAACACCTTTATTTTTTCTTCTCATCAAAGTCATTCTGATAAAACATTTTTTTCCTGTTATAAAAACTTCCCATAAAAGTGCTACATCTCACTATCTGACCAGTAACAGATGTGCCCATGCCTTGGATTGCCTGGTATATGTAATTTTTCACTTTGGATTTCATAAGAAATTAAAATGTGATCTTGGCAGTTCTTCAGAAAGTTAAACATAGAGTTGCCATATGATCTGCAATTCTAAGAGATCTGAAAACATATGTTCACATGAAAACTTGTACATGAATGCTCACGACAGTATCACTCGTACTAGCTGAAAAGTAGGAGCAACCTCAATATCTATCAACTGATGAATGGATAAACAAATATGGCATCCACAAATGGTATATTATTCAGCCACAAAGAGGAATGAAGTTCTGATACACGCTGCCACAGGAATGAACTTTGAAAACATTATGTTAGACAAAGAAGCCAATCACAAAAGACTGCCTCGTGTAAGATTCCATTTATGCAACATGTCCAGGAGAAGCAGATCCTTAGGTAGAGATCCACAGACAGAAAGTAGACTACTGGTTGTCAAGGGGTGAAGAGTGGTGGTGGAATGAGATAGTGGTGATGTTTGCATAAAAAAACACTGACTTGTACACTTTAAAATGGTTAAAATGGTGAATTTTATTTGAACATTTTAAAAAGCTGTGATCTTTGAGATGGTGAAAAAAAGATAACAGTGATGTCAGAATAGTTCTGTGCTATTTGGGGGATATAAAATTCTGGATGCTTCCTGGTGGGAACTTCTGAATGTTCAGACTTTGTTTTCAAACTCTTCATGAAGATCTATGCAGTCCACAATCCATAAACTGTGGATTGAGGAGCCTCAGACTCTTGCAGTAACCCACCATGCCCACTAGGAGTCCCTGCCACAGATGGAACCCGAGCTGATCTCAGCAAAAGGATTTCCCACCCTGGACCTAAGGAGTGTGCTGTCTGGCCTCATTCACCCAATACAGTTTCATCTCAGTCCCAATGCCCAGCGCCCATCCTTATATTTGAATAGGCAAATAACCAAGACCACTGATGAATTCATGGAATCCTCTTGATTTTACTGGTTAGAGGTGAGCTGCCCAAGGTATTGGGTTTTCATACACAGTAACAGCCAGACTTTCAGTGTCATCAACATTTCAAAATACCTGTGAACCCAGGGGGAAGAGGGGAAGAAACAGGAGACTCAGAGCCTCCTGGAAACAGCAACCCTAAAGCCCACGCATCCTTCGTGGGAAGCAAAGCAAACCGGTCGCATAGGAAATCCTCGGTTTCCTGGCTTTCCCAAGAGGTCTTCTGCTGTGTCCGTGGGATTTCCATTAGATAGCCGGAGGCAAGGAGTGGACACTTCAGAAAGCAGCGGAGAGCAGGAAGAGGCTGCTACATTGGCAAGAGGTGACAACCCCGTGCTGTACAGGAACACATTTTGTGTCACGGGCACGAGATAAAGGACAATTAAAGCTGTTTGAAAAGTACAGCTGGGGTCTTGGGGGTATAAAAGCCCCCCAAACTACAATTGCCCCAATAACTCCACCGATGGAGCAGACAGCAGTAAAAACCAACAATGAGAAGAACGTGAGAGGCTGTAAGAGGCAGAGCCGAGCCCTGTGCATTTTGATAGCTCTTGGTGACATCACGGCAGCATACCAAGGTACAAAAGGGGCTGATGTTTGTAGAGATGACCATGACTCTGTAAGGACAGGGTGGATACTCTCCAGTGGACTCTGTTTGCTAAGGCAGGGAAGTGTGTGATACATTTAAGAAAGATTTCCCTCAAAAAAATATTAAAATTTTAAAGTCAGCACTTAAAGGGTTACTCCTCAGTTATCTGAATATTTGTTCAGATACCTCATTCACGACAATGCTAGAAAATGAGGCATTGCTTTTTTTTTTATAATCATTAGTATCAAATTATTGGCACCATTCAGTTGTAAGGGTAGGGACAGGAGAGCAATCTCTACAACAACATAAAAATACAGTTCTGTTACAAAGGTACGAGATCGATTCCATTTAACAAGCAGTCATAAGAAATGGATGGACAGTTTACACACAAGGAAATACAGCTAGGAAATCATCACGTGGAAAAGTGCTCAGCTTTTGTAGCAATTAATGAAATAAAACAACCTTTTCAAGAACAACTGTACACATCCATTAAACTAGTGAAAATAAATAAAAACAGCAAAA